TTTTTTGTAGAAAAGATAACGCCGTAAGTTTAACGAGCCCTAAAATTTAATGGCGGTTAGCTCAGTGTCACCAGACGTAATAAAAAATTTTAGAGAAATGCTTGTAGATATGTACATGAAATTCGTTGTTGGATATTTGTCTTATTGCATCACAGCAATTTTTGTTGACTCTATTTCTGGGAAAAATATAAAGAATTTAATTCATTTTGTCTAGAAAGCAGGAAAATATGTAATAAATGCATACCGAAATATTTTAAATCTATTTCTGGACTGTCTTGTTTATTAATTGATTCCGCAGGCGGCTCATATTCACTAACTTTTGGGTTTTACGATTTGAAAAAGATCTTTATAGGAGCAAGTAAAATTTAAATCCGAAAATTAAATCGGAAAATATATACGATTTTGAGAAAGCTCCATATACATATTAGGTTAGACTTCACTTTTCAATCGCTGAAAATCTCTGCGGACTCATAAAACCTCAAACATTAACATCAAAATGACTCTGAAGACTTCAACTTTTTCTTCTGTTTGGTTTTGCAAAAAATTGAATCATGAATGCGTACTGTTTGTGGTAATGGCTAGCAGCAACAATTTGTTTGAATATTCCTCTTCCCGGAAGTAACTTTGATTTTAAAACCATTAAGTTGTGAGCGCTGTAAAGCAAAAACCTAATAACAGTGGCTAATGAAGCTGTGGGAATTTTTCTTTTTTTTTTAACTTTTTTTACTTTCTTAGGTGTCACTAAAATAACAAGCACTGGAATGGCTTTGATAAAAATGAAATGCGCACTAAGTAAATGAAAACGTACAACAATGGCACGTATGGTAGAAAAGTTCGTTAGTAGAGAACTGTAATGAGTGAAAGTAAAGAGTATTTCATAAGCAAACTACAAAGGTAAGGCAACAAGAGTTCTTGGTAAGTTTATCAAAATAACAAAGAAAATATTTTCAAAGTGTTTATAAAAGTTTAATAAGATAAGTAAATAAAGCAGAGAAGTAAAGTAAATTCTGAATACAAAATGCAATTAGTAATAAAAATGTATGTAGAACTTGTACGTTGATATTGAGTTGGTTCTCAACTATTTATCATAACCATGGCAGCTAAAAATAGAATCAGCGTAATAGAAAACGAGAAATTAGGCCACATTCGCAGCCAGTGTTGCCGTTGTGCGACTTAAGTGTCAAATTGACACTTTTTGGAGATCGATGCGCCCTGATACCGACCTTTTAAAATTAGGCTTATTTTGTAACTTTTCCAAAAAATCATGAGACTTTTGCTGCTTCTCTTTGATTTAAAATTCTATACACACATTTCGACAATTCCTTCATAAATTATATTTTTCTAACGTGTTTCAAAATGATTTTAGTGTTTACTTTTCAAAGGCACTTAAAAATTACACCTCTGACCAGATTTGAAATGATTTCAACCTTTTTATTATGTCAAACAATTTCCGAATAAATGTCCAGAAGTAGAATGAATTAATGCCCCGTTTTTGTAGCTTAGCATTTCCCCCAATTTATTTGTGTTAAATTTATTATTTATTTAATGATGTAAGTACTTTTTTTAAATGCAATTTTGTTTTCATACTAAATGCAAAATATGCATATTGCGTTTTTTTAATATCTCCCTCATCAATGGGTTATTATTTTAAGAGAAACAACTATTTTTGACAGAAAATGATGATCTCCATTAATAATTTATTAAAAAAATGGGGCATAGTCACAGATGAAATAAAGCCCACCCTAAGCAGCTTTTTTGGCAGATTTTCCGTTGAAAAAAGCTAAAACTAACGTTAGAGTCGATTTATTGCGACCATGAATATGCCCTAATAAGTTTCGAAAGGTAAAATAATGAAAGTCTTTACATACATGTTATAAACGATTCGAATGACTTGAAGACACTTTTTTCGGCTGTGACACTTTTTTTGCCACTTTCGAAAAATTTTCAGCCGTAACACTGTACGCAGCCCATTGTAAAAACTCTGTCATTGAACATGGGCGCACTTACAAATTATAATCAGAAGTAAAAACAAGTAATTGTTAAGCAAAAAATACAATTCTCATATAAAAATTTGGGAAGACCGTTAATTTTTTCATGATTCAATGATCGCACCTAAACCAAATTAGTATGGGACCACTTGTGAGACACTTTCCGATAGAAAATCGAAATCGGTTGACGTGGTCTATAGTTATGCGGTAACATACATAAAAAATATATATATATTCTGTTGAATTGATAACCTTCGAGTCCGTTTGGGGGTGGTTAAGATTTTTCAAGTTAAATTAATGCAAGTTAATATAATTACTTCAACTTAAATATAAATTAGAAATTTGAAGGTCTAATTTCATTGTAAAAAAGTGCAAGTCAGGCGTAGGAAATTTTTTTTGAATGTATTTATGTTATTAAGGTTTTTAGTGTAATTTTTAAACTGAATTAAAAAATATATATACAAAATTAAAATAGATTTTAAAACATAATAAAAAAAAGCGCGTGTAGCACCGTACACGTGATAGAAGTGAAACTTCTTACAAAAAGGTGTGAGTAACAGGTACTCACGAAATTTGATGTGTAAACATACATATGTGTACGGCACGGCAAACCATTAGGCGATTGAGTTACATAAATGCGTAGGTTTGGTTAGAAATTACACAATATATTCGAATAGAAAAAAAGAATTATTGAAAGTTGTGCGGTTTTTTAAGTCAGGTAAAAATGTTTGAGTTCTTTTTTAATTTTCGGTAAATAAAGTGCAATTTATGAAACTTTAAAAAGGTTATTTATTTATTACATACTGTACATAAAACTGGCATAAGTGTATTTTAAAGAGCATATTATCTGAAGCGAATTTTCAGTATTTTTTGGCGATATATCTTCAGAAGTATTAATCTCTCTCTGCTGACTGCTGATTTTAAGAAAGAGTTGCAATAACACATTTATTTGAAACAGAGTATTTACAATAAATGTATACCATTAAATTATAATACATGTTCAAAAAAAATCTAGACAGCCAAAAAGGTTCGGCTTCGGCAAAATCTTCGGTATTTATTTTTTTTTTTTACGAAGACGAGCATTCAGCCGAATATGAAAATATTGCTGATTAATCGTCAAACCGAAGCAGAACAATCGGTCGGACTCTACTTGAAAGTTATGAATTTTCGAAATTACACCATAAAGCAAAAGCATACAAATGTGTTTAACTTCTACTCCACTCACATTGAGCATTATTTTTAAACAGCTGCATTTGCTATCTGAGACCTTTTCCCAATGCCAAGGCAGAAAGCAATGAGCTTGGTGAGTGTTTTTTAGATGTAAACAGATCACCGCTGAAAATATTTTTATAATTTGAGCGAATAAGCGCTTTAAATCAAAAGTTCCTGGTATTCTTATAATGACAGAGCTAAAGTATTGTTGAGTATAAAATGAGATGGTCAGCAATACACGCTCAGAAATACATACTCATGCGATTAGCCTTGACTATGTGACGGATTTACCAAAATCCTCTCGGTTCGGGTCGCTGGATTGGTAAATAAACGCTCAAGATGAACAAAATTACAGTACAGTTAACTTTATTGTACAACAAACAATTTACACTACTCGTTAAAGCATATACAACGCTTTACAAAACTTGCTAACACAATTCATCTCTGCTTTACAACTTGCTTGTAGCTTGCTGTAGCAGCGGCCTTATATACCCGCGCTCGTGCTCATGGCAACTCTAGAAAGTTCTGTCATCTATCGCACGTTCTCTCATTCTCTCGCTTTTGACATTTCTCGCTGTCGAATATTCTACGTCATTCCTCAACAATTCTGAAATTTTCTTGTTCGCTTCGCATTGCCACAGTATTCGCCACACTGCCCTACACCTAAGTCTGATCGTCCCGATCAGATACACTTGCTGCTAAAAACGCTGCAAGCCTTTCCAAGTGGACCACCTTCATCTTGGTTCTCGGTCTCACAACTGTCTGGATTCGATACACTGCGTCATTCAGCCGTTTGACAATCTTAAACGGACCTTTCTAGGTACGTCGTTTCTTGGAGGTGAAGCCTTTCTTCTGCTGCGGCTTGTACAACAAAAAAAAACTCGCCTTCCTAGAAAGCCTCTCGGCTCAATGTGTTAGTGGACATTGCTTCCGACTTATCTCCGGGAGTGCACCATCTCACATGGCTGTACTTCTGCCGGCCGCTGGTGGTGACCAGACCATGTCTCTTCTCATGGGCGCCCTTTTCGCCGTTCGCCTCCGAAACTTGCCCAGTGTTTCCGAATCTTGATCTTTCGCTGACGTCAACATCATTGACTGGATATGTATAACCTCATCCCGGGCATCAGGCTTTAATTCTTGCCTTTGCATCCTCTGCCGATCACGAGATTTTCCTGGATACTTCGAACCACGCTCACTGCTACCACAGCGGTCTCCCTTTCCGGCCACCGGCGTATTACCCTTGTAACGTGATTCAGTGGCTCTCTTCCTGCCGAAAACACTGCCGGGAACAGGTATGATTTTTCTGTACAGCTGAACCGCTTCCTTCTCCTGTTGGGTCTCCATCACTGCCAACCTCTGTCCAACTAACCTCTTCCGTTGCTGGTGGAATCTGGTACTGGTTGTCATAACCAGCCCTAAGTGCCGCTATCCTGTCGCGATATATCAGGTTCATTCCCAGGAGGTCAATCTTCATGCCTCGGTCAATTAGGAAGTCCACGCCGATAATGACTTCATCCACAATGTTGCCACTATAAACTTGGTGTACGAGGCCACACCCCCTATTATTACCTCGCATGATACTTCTCCTAACACTTGGGTGCGCTCCAGGAAGTGGCTTCACATAAAAATAATGGAACGTGACGCTCCAGTATCCACTGTCAGCGCTCGCTCTTGCCCATTCACATATCCACCAACAGTGAGGTTGCGCGCTTTCCGGCCAATTTCTGAGACGGAGATTATGGGCCCTTCAATTGCTGAAGCCAGCGAGCGGCCCTTCCTGCTGGCTCGTGTTAGTTTAACGACTGACCGGAGTTCGGTTCATATTCTTCAGCTCTGCGTTTGCGTCCTGCCGACTTGTTGTTCCTGTTGGAACTTGCGCGGCAATCGCGGGCGAAGTGGCCTGGCTTCCCACAGTTTAGGTGAACTTGTAACTGTGCGGTATGCGTGCGACGCTTGTGACGAAAAATACCGTTTTAATTAGTTTTCCTGTACGCATGGCGCGCATCATGGCCAGAGATGACCAAAGGCGTATGCTGGCACCTCGTGGCCTTCTTCATTACTCATTCGCACTGTTGCATGCCGCAACATAGTTGCACTTATAGAAATGTACATAAGAGCGAATGCAATTGTATGCTGTTAGTGGCAGCAGCTTACTTTGACAGTCTTGCAATTTGCTACACGTATTTATTATCCAACAGTGCGCCTGCAGTTTAGTTCGAACATAAACGTAACCATCAGATAACCAACTTACATACATGCCAATGCTAAATATAATGCTTTACCGCTGGAAATCAGGAGTCATTTGCGGAAGTTGTCAAGCTCTGCGCAAGCGTGTACCTACTTGTTGCGCCAACGTCTACCCGAAATGGAAATCTAGTCTTAGATTGGATCGTCGGCTGTTATTTGCTGCGTGACGAATTTGTCGGACATAAGTAATTGTGCTTTGTATTGAATGTTACACAAATTCCCACAATTTCCATTCCGAAGCGGTGGACATTTCGCGTTTTATGGCTGAGAGTGGCTACCGACGTGCGTTTGTCTGCTGTCAAATGTAATTTCGCTGCAACCAGTTGTCTCAATGTTGTTAAGTTACGTTGCTAGGAAATGTTATGCCAAAGTATAATTTGCGGAATGCAGGAGCATGCATATAATCAGTGCAGAGGTGGATGTCTTTACTTTTTTTAAATGCCATTATAAGGCCATTTTCCCTATAGTACAGTCAATCTGGCATTAGAAGTTTCAAATAATTTGCGATGGCTAAAACTTTTTCCAAAATGTTCAGAAAATTACAGATTTTTTAATGAGATGTACTTAATTTTAAAAAAGTTTTAAGTTAAAAGTAAATGGGCAGAGGGGAGGGATTTAACGTTCAGAAAAACTATCCCATATATATTCTTTTAATTTCATTTAATTTTAGAGACTTATTTAACTTTACTTTTTTTCATTCAATTTTTAGGTTTTCTTGTTTTAAAAAGAAAAGTATTCTTTTTTTATTTAGTTTAATTTTTAGAAACTTGCTTTTTCTTTTTTTTTGAATTAAATTATTTTTTTAATTTTTTCATTGAATTTTCTTTTAATATGGATATTTCCAAAATGGTTACGTGACGCTGGTATGACAAAATATAAAAAAAATTGAAAAAGTCAAAGTTTTAAAAAGGATTTGCAAAAGCAATTAAATGTCCTTTTATTTAAGGATATCAGTAAAAATATGCGCTGGCTCACTTTATATTTAAAGGTTTTATTAAAAATTAAGCTATGTCTAAAGTTAAGCATTTCAATTCTCGTTTTTTGGCGTATGTATGTGTCTTGGTTGTAAACCAATTTAAAACCGATAATAAAATGCTTTGCTTTGTTCACCATCATAAATTATAATTCAACCATTAAATATAAATTGAGCTTTAAAGTTACAGGTTACTTGAGAAAACGGCCCTAAATGTAGAATTTTTTACTGCTGTATGTTTAATCAGCTGAATTATCTGACGTGACGTTACCTGGCGTTACGTTACAAAAATTTCCATTGAAAAAGTTTTGTTAATATTGTTCTTGAAAGAATTTTTAACGGGAGGAGGACATGCATTTTATGTCGAGCGTAATTTTTATTTTGACATCAGCGCCACCAGCGGCTCCATTTTATGCAAAATGTATTTTATTACGCTTCAAATATGAAACAAATCAGAGCATAAATACGGTTTTAAAAATATCTCGACCCTGGCGCCATCATACGAGACCATTCTTTGCAAAAATGTTTCTGCTTACATAACCAGTATATATTATAAATAGCACTCAAATCGGCCTTAAATAACTTAGATATAGGACTTTTATTATTTTTTTTTTACGCGGTAGACTTTTCGCTGAATTCGCGCATATTTACGTTTTATTGTTTTAAAGAGAAAAGTATTTCTTTCTTATTTCTTAAAATTTCAGGAACACATTTTTTATTAAAAAAAATTATTTATTTTTCTTTTTTTAATTTTTTAGAAACTTATTTTGTTTTATTATTTTTTTAATAATGGTATTTGCTTTTTAAATTAAATTTTCTTCTAATCTTTAGATTTTACTGTCTTAAGAACAAACATATTTTTATATCATTTAATTTTTGGAAACTAATCTATTAATATTTTTTCTTTTTCCAGGTATTTATTTTCTTTTTTTATTTTAATTTTTAGGATTTTATTTTTTAAACGAAAAATATAAATTTTTTAAAATTTAATTTTTAAAAAACTTTTTGCTAAAAGACAAAAAGAATAATGCTCAGACCTCCTCGTTAGAAGGTATTTCAATAAGTCTTTCGAAAGACAGATATGATCTGTCAAGATAGTTGCAAAAATTGAAAATAGTGTCACGAAAGATTTTTGCCTTGCGAATGACTGTGGTGAGTTGAAAGACAGTTGCCAGAAATGCCCTGTTAGTATTATTTCAGAGTACATCAGTGGGTATTTAACCTGTTTTGGTATCTAAAACTTACAGTTGAGAATTCGTGTGAAGGTTGAACTTCTATAGCAGTACTCAGGGGGCGCGAGTTGATTAACGTTGTGACAATCTCTCAGTTAATAACGTTCAAGGTCTTTCTCTATGTGGTATTTTTTGTCGGGTTCAAAGTTTGTTTGATGTACATTTGGTACTTAATCTAATATCTTATGTACATATATAAAAGTTCTGCGACAACAGTTCTAAGTACCATACTAAGGACTATGGTTTTGGTGATCCAACCCTGCGAATATACACGGACCATATTTTTGTTGTAAACAGTACATTCGCAACTAACTTACTTGAAAAATGTATTCAGCTATCAAAGGTTTTAATTACCTTATTATCTAATAGATGGTGGAAGACGTGGTCGTGCCGAATATATTGTAGGAATGTAGAAAATGAATCATTGGCGATAAGTCAGTTTGTAAATAAAATTATCCTTACTGAAATGCAGTCAGTTTAGTTTACAGCATACTGTGCTTATTTTTCCATTACTTTAGTATTAAAATTGGAGACATTGACTAAATTTAGTGTTCATGTACACTGTACATTAAAGTGGTTAAATTTTTTTATGTGTAAAAAAATTTGCATCCTAGACAACGGGGCACCCCCTTAGTTTTTTACTTTTAATATTTGTAATATCTATACCCACTTTCAGTTTCCTACTGCAACCAAGGTGCTCAATGACTTTGAAAAGCGCTACTGGATCGCTTTGAAACTGGCAAAAATATTGGTGATTTATATAAAAAGGTACTGTTGCCATGACAACTGAAGCTTGTGATATTTTTTTAGATAATTTAAATTTGAAATGTTCTTAGGTAACTTAACCAATTGTTTGATTAATATATGTACTAAATACCTCTAGAGTAAAATATGAGCATCATGAGCATCCTCTAAATTTATACTTATTTAAAAACGTAAGGTTTGGTACCAGCAGCTCTTTCGGCAAGAGGAAAAATTTTGGCAGGTGCCCAAAACCCTATCTTGGAAAATTTTTTTGGACCACCCTACTGTACGTACATAAGATTGCTGTTTCTATCCACTTAACTGGCTACCTAGCCCAATCTAGTTTTTCTATTAATTTTAAAGTTGAACCTTTTCTACAAAATATAAATAACTATAGACTAGACACATACTTGTACATTCATACACTTTCATCGCCATGGCACCAACATCTGGAAGATCAGTCTGACGTTGATTCCGAACGAAATATCCAGTCAACATAGTGACCTGAATCGGAATTGATATTCACTTCGACCTATGAAGATCGTTGCCAACAGCTGTTGAAATGCTCTTTTTACTAGAAAGTCTTGAATGCTTTTAATTTAGCTGCTATTTTAATCTGACTAGCTATTTTGGTGCAACTTGGTTTCTACCGGCATCCTGTAACTGCTTCTAATGCCATAAGACCGCTTGTTGGCTAGCACGTCCAGCAGCTGTCACTGCACTAATTCAACGCATTCCACTGGATTAGCATACAAAGCAGGGATGGGAAAGTAGGTGCTATTGTACCTTTTTCCGAATTTTTCGAACCAAAAGGTACATTTGGTACACTGAGATCAATTTAGGTACAATTAGACGATAGCTAAATAAATATAATATGAATGCACTCTGGCGGGAATTTATTCTTACATCGATGGATAAGTAAGTCAAACTTTGAGTAAAATTTTAGCTGAAGTTCGGCTGCTCACGAAGTACTACATAAGGTTTTGTATCAAAGGCCTGGTTTACAAAATACAAGTAGACCCAAATGCTTTATGTACGCAGTGTAATCTAAGAGCATCTGCTCTTCAAGTGCCCAATTTATTATTCCTTGAGGGACTATTACCTAGGACAACTTCTAAAAGAGTTTGAAAGCAATCGAATGCATATATTCCAATTGGCGAATCAATTTACCGTCAACATTGTGTACCTCTAAGTTGTTAACTGTTTTCGATTCAAGTACTTTCACTTTCAGTATATTTTTGAATAATTATGTAATTCTCAAACATGTAAACTCAAATGTAACTATTAGAAAGCCTGCTAAAAACATATAGTTTATTAACAGGGTTAAATAAAATGAATGGTACCGAAAAAAATTTTATCGCTGTTTTTTATATAAAAAAATAATTTGATGTTGCTTATATGGGGACAAACAAGTTTTCGTAAAATGGTATAGAATTCTTAAATCAATATTTTTTGATCGGAAAACGTTGCTTCTCTTTAAGAGACTGCCAATAATAATACCCAATCATTTATTTTATTCTATTAATAGCGATTTTATTTATAAGAAATAGTTAATAATATAAAATGGTTAAATAAACAATTTGGTAATATTATTAAAAATTTTCAAAAGAGAAACAAAGTTTTCCGTTCGAAAAATATTGATTTTCAAAATTAAATACCATTTATACGAAAACATGTTTCCCCACACAAAATACGTGGAAAACTTTGGGTGCTTACAGCGGCCCCTAAATATTTTTTGGTTT